CTTTTTTCTTTTTTTAATCATCTCCAACACTAACCTCCTCCTCGCCGCCGTTCCTCCACAGCCACCTCCGGCGATGACATCTCCTCCCTCTTTTCTCTCCTTTCTCGCCCAAAATCTTATATCCATCACGAGTTCTCAGGAGATTTTCATAGAAAATTATTTTGGTTTGAGAAGATTTTCGAGACAGAAGAGGCATATGAACACAAAGAGATTTTTCTACAAGGGCAGTTATTGTAAGTTATTCGTAGTGTTCGTAATTTCATGTTGTAATGGATTTCAATTCTATTCATATTCTTGCTAGAAATTCTTTGAAATTTTTATGTATTCCATTGTTATTTGAATGTTTATTCGTTTTTTATTTTTCGGTTAATTATTTTCTTAGATTTAAAGTTATGGCGTTGTGTCTTGATTGAATCATTAAATAGCATTTGCTCTCGAAGAATTGTGCCATGTTGAATGTTAAAGAGTCGAGGAAGAAAGTGAATTGGATCTGAGAAGATGGTGTTTTGTAGTTGTATTTGCTCGAAGTAATAGTAGTTTTGCTGAAATTTGGGGATATATTTTTATAGTTGATTTCGATACCGTTATAGTTGGTTTTGTTAATGTTAAAGTTATTTTTGATTTTTTGTAGTTATTTTCAGTTTGTTAGAGTAGATTTTTATAATGTTGTAGTTGATTTTTATAATGTTGTAGTTTTTTGTAGTTGTTTTCAGTTTTTTTTAGTTCAAGAAATCAGGCGTTGCGTCAGCCGAGCAGCGAATACCAACTTCCCCATCAAAGAAATCTCCACATCTCACTTCCAGTGCCATTGGGGTTTTTTTTAATAACATAGCCAATTTCGATAATTTGTAGATGTTTTTGATTTTTTTAGTTGATTTTCAATAATTTTATAGTTGATTTCGACAACTTTAGGTGATTTCAAATTTTTATAGTTGATGTAGGTTAATTTATAATTTACAGTTTTCTAATAGTTGATTATGGCGGAAAAAAATGAACAGTTGAAAAAAATAGTTATTTTCTAATAGTTGTTTTACAATTTATAGTTATTTTTCATTAAAAAAAGGGCAAAAAATAGTTGTTTTCTGGAAAAAAATGTCAAAATAACTGAAAATTAAAATTAAGAAAAATGAAATAAAAAATCGAAATTATAGTCGATTTCTGAAATATTATAGTTGGTTTTAGAATCTTTATAGTTGATTCTGAAAAAAAAAACCTAAAATTAAAAAAAATAATAAAAATTAAAATATTTTTAAATAAAAAATTAAAAGAAAAATATTTTTTTAAAGCTATTATTGTTAGTGTTTAAAGAAAATAATACAAAAAAGAGAATTTAAAACTATTTAAATTATATATAGAAAAAATTAGAGTTTGCAGATGGGAGTTTATGGAAAGATTTGGGAAGCGGTTTTTTTGGGATATAATCAATCACACACGATTGTGGAGATTTTAAATTTCCGGATTTTGTGCGTGTGTCTTCCAGAAGGCTAATTTCGGGAATCGTTAAAATAGTGGTTTTCTACTAATATTGAAAAGGATGTGATAAACGTCTTTCGAGCTTTAATAATACCGTTTCGACTTCAAACGTGATTTTGATCATTTTTTATTCCAAATTTTGCAAAACCCAAAAAATAGGATTTGTAGTATTCTGAGTTAGTTTTCTAATCCAACTTGAATCACCGAAATTGGATGTTGGACGAGAAAGATATACATGAATCAATGGATACTGCCCACAACTTTGATGTATTGAGGTATCTAAAATCCAAAATGTGACTCATTCATGCATAACTTTGTCACACGGCATCCAATCTAGCGATTTAAGTTGAATTAGAAAACTAACCCAAAGGACTACAGTTTTCGTGTTTCAAATTTTGCCAAAATTAAAATAGAAATATGTCAAAATCTGGTTTGAAGTCAAAACGATATTAGTAAAATTGAAACGGCATTTAACATTTCAGATATTGAAAATATGGCTGGATCCTCCCTTATTAAAAAAACACTAAAGGAGGTTATGGCTAATTGTCCCTTTAATCTAAGTTATCGGCCGAATTTCATGTAAGGGACGGTGGGCAAATTAAAAGACAATATAAGGGGTCTTTGCTAATTTTCTTTAATATAAAAGGTTTTTAAGTAATTCGAGATTTCATAAGGGGTTTATGCTAATAAAACATATAACTAGGACTGACATTGGTCGGGTAATTATCGGCCAATTATCTACCCGATCCGAGCACCCGATTTTACTGAAAATTGAAAACCATCCATTTATTGGTTGGTAAACAATGGGCGGTTTGGTATTATCGGCCATCCATTTATTGTTTTTTTTTTTTAATTATTAGTATTATACAATAATAAGATGTTTTTAAAGGTTTTTTCAAAAGATATTCAGTATTTTGGGAAAACTTATGTTAGTAAAAATCTTAACTTTAACATTAAGAGTTTTTTTTAAACTTCTATAATAAGTTTATATATAATGAAGAATATGCAATAAGAATTATAAAATAGAAATAGTACGGAGAGGTTTATATATTTGTTTTTTGAGTTTTTGAGTTTTTACCTCTCTTATATTTATTTTAAATTCAAAAAAAAATTAAGAATTACAGTTATTAAAAATGTCGGTTGGCCGATTATCCGACCAATTGACTTTTGAGTAAACTGAAAACTAGCGACCGACCCATTTATATATGGGTAGGTTAAATTATCGGCCCGACAACAAAATTATCGGCCGAAATAAGCGGGTCGAAAGTGGATCGGTTGGCCGATAAAATGATTCAGGCCCAGCCCTACATATAACTATACACAATGGCAAATTCATTTTTGGGCAAGGGAGGACTCAAGCCCTCCCTCAATTGAAATAAAAAATACCACTATATTATACCTATTTATTTGTTTAGTCCGCCCAAATTTTCTTATTTAAGCTATTTCAATAAAAAAAATTAATGTAAAAAGGAGTATTGATTTTTTTTTTCTTTCCCATTTTCTGGCTTTGTAAATAAAAAACATCCTAATTTTTTTTTGGGCGGCATTTTGCCCATTCATTTTTTTTATTATTTAGCTCATCCAAATTTGAAATGCAAAAAAAAAAGTCCAAAAATTTCTCTTTTCTTCGTTTTTCTTTTCCTATCTTCTAATTTTATCAAAAAGAAGTCCTAAAAAGTTTTCCAGGGGCAGCAACTCCCGAAATTGAAACACACCCTATAACAAATTCCCAGGCACGTACTTGTATACCCATATATAAAACAACAAGTCCATAATAATTACATTTCTTAGTAACCTAATTAAAACTAACTAACTTATTATAAAATATTGAAAAAAAAAGAATTTAAACTAGAAAAAACACACTGAACAAACAAGTATATAAAATCACAAATAAATATCCTCTCCATCGTCTACGTTCACAAAATTAAAATTGAGCTAATTAAATAATAAATTTTTAAAAACTAATTCAAATTCAATAATATTGTGATTAAGCATGGGTGGTCCCTAATTAAACAAGAATTAATGATCATAGTACATGGTCTATTTCATGGTCCGAAACTAATGAAGCACAAACTCCACAACATGCAAATAATTCCTATATAGTCTCATTCAATAGAGTTATTTTCACGGACCCCCCAAAAAATAAAAAATAAATAAAAAAAATAAAAAAGAATTATCCAAAGAAAATGGTGGGGGCATTTGATGCAGTGTGGATTTTGGGACCATGAAATTAAACCTTTTAAAATTGCACATTTGTCTCAAGAAAAGACACCAATATGTCTTTATTGAAGACATGATAGGGTGGGAAATGCATATAAAACAGAAAAAAAAGGACCTCAACATTAAATAATTGTACTTGTTTGGTTGTTAAATAAACTTTTTATTTTTCTTTTTCGCATATAAAATATATTATTTGGGTTTTCTCTAACACGGGGACCAGTGAGGTCTATGATGAGATATGCTACACCCGGTGAAGTACAACGAATAATTTTACATCGTAAATCTATACAAATAATTATCCACTGATCACACATATACGTACAAGTGTATGTTATTATGTGATATCAATGGTGTAACAATCAGCCGATGTATCACACGGAGTGTAGCATCTACAAAAACCAACCGGGGACGGACCAAATGAGGGTCGCCTCGCGCCAAGATTAAAAAATGAAAAAAAAGAAGATGAAATCTAGTAATATATTATAAAATATCAATTTTGGCCCTTCTATTTTTTGTAACTATTCTCAAATTTTTGTGTTTGCCATAATTCTTTGTAAATTTATATACCTTTTCGTATTTAAATGATTATGATGTTAAATACTGGCGTTGAAACTTTTACCAATTTGATACAAGATCTATAAATATTTATTTTCTTTGTTTTTCACGAATTCCTCTAAAAACCCGGGGGCGATGATGCCCCAAAATGTTAAAAGGAAAAACTCCCCCCACCATGTCTTGGGTCCGCTCCTGAGCATGACACCACATTTTTTCAATAATTGATATATACATTCAGCAGCGGATCTACTTCAATGTAAGGGTGCGCAACTACACACCGTTGATTTTGAAAAAAAAAAATTAATGAAATGTTTCTATTATATACACTTAAAAAACGTGAATTTTTTGCTTAATTATGCCGTAGCTCAAGTGGTAGATAGTTTTATTTGTACATAAAAACAGTAAATCGTAGCGTTTACTTCGTCTCCAAGATTGCCCCGTAGTAAAAAAAATATCTTTTATTAAGAATTTTCACCGTAGCAAAAAAAATTGTACTAAAAAGTCATTTTTCTACTAATGTTTGGAGGACAGAAAACCATAAGGTCGCATTGGAGGAACTATTTTGAGACCGATGGATTAGTTTGGTGGTGGATAGTTCTCATCGGAGAAAACCGTACGATCGCAAATATGACTTGGATAATCTCCTCAAAGAAGAGGTATATTCTCTCTATATTCCATATATTGTCCCCCAATGAGTATTTTTGGCAAATGTATTTTCATTGAATAGTCACTCTATAATGTTTATAAAATTAAATAACAAAATATATAAATATTTAAAGAATATGTTTTTTCTACATCCGATCTTGTTTTGAAAACATTGAGAAATACGGTTTTCGAGATGAAACGGTGGGAATGAGGCAATAATTTTCACACCATTT